TCACAGAGCTCGCAGCGTTGGGCCGGTCCGGCGCGCCTCACTCCGTTTCTGCGCCAGTTCCGCTGGCTTTCCTGGCCTTTGTTGACTCGGCCGCTCGCCCATTCCCGCAGCCGGGTTTGGGTGCTCTCAGGAGTCCTCCTCTGTGTCGGCCCCAATAAACCTCGAACCTGCTGCCGCTTGTTTGTCGATGCAGGATCGTTGTTGAAAGAATTATTCGCCTTTTGTTGCTCTTGGAAGTGCAATTAATACTCTGGTATCACAGCGCACAGCTCTCAGGATCGCGCTGTCTCCTGGCTCGGCCGCTCCAGACCCGTCGCCATCTTCGATCTGTTTTGTTTGTTTTTTTAATGTCTCACTTAGTTTCCTTTTTTCTCCCCTTAATGCACAATAAATTAATATGTGTTTTTCATACAACTTATACTTCATTTTTCGTAAGGATCACCAACACTTAATAGCTGAGTCCAGGGTTACAAGCTAGTAAGTGGTGGAAGTGGAGTTCACATCCACATTCGTCTGTGTTAGGAGCTTATGCACATAGCTATGGGGCCACCCCTTACTATGTTTGTGTCCATGGATAAGTTCCAAAGTTTTCTGTTTCTAATTCTAAATGAGTGATAATAATAGTACCTACCTCATAGGATTCTCAGGAGAAGTGAATACCTATGTAGATGCACAGAACAGAGCTTGGCCCAAAGTAAGTATTCAATAAATACAGCTGCACAATCAATTATTATTCATATTACTACTACTATACTTTATTTAATGTTGTGTAGGAGACACACAAATTGTCTTCCTTTTTTTGGTTTAGATTGTTAGGAGTTATGGGGATTAAGAGTATTGGCCCATCTGTCTATCAGGCCACACTTTATATAATCTTAGAATATTTCATTTTTTGAGATTTTCGAGGTCTGATGATTTAACAAATTCTTATCCAAAGTAGCGGTCCTCTCTGCAGTTTCTGGTTAGAGGTGAGCAGTCATCTAGAGACTATCAGAACATATTTTATAGTGACAGAAGCTGGCCACTTTGGAAAGAACATGTGATTATTTTAAAAATCATGTATATACATATTTTCTTTTTATTTATTATTTTTTTTAGTTCTGTCCTCTGTAAAATGTAAAAATCCCTTTTTCACACTGTAATCCTTAGTCCTCAAAATATTTTAACAGACTTACCTCTGTACTGGCAGTTTTCAAAGTGTGGACTAGGAATCCCTTTTAACTGAGACGCTTTCCTCAGGAGTCTTTCTTCTCTCTTCTTTCTTTTTAATCAGAGAATCCATGAAGAGCCTGAAAGCATAGACCAAATTTTTTTATGTGCTTGTGTGCATTTTTCTGGAGAGACGTTGGATGATCTAGAAAAGTTTAAGAATCACTACCTTGGATATACTCATGATTGAGTTTTGCCCTGAAATGAAATATAACATATTCATCTCAAAGGGACAAAAGTGGTGAAGAACCATTGATTTTTAGTTTTCTTATAGTGGTAAGAAAGTTACTGAAGGTAAAGGTTAGGAAAGGGGAAAATCTGAGAGTTAAAGCAAAGCAATAGAGACATAGAGTTCACCTGTCTTCACTGAGCTACTACCCTGACACCTTTGGTAAAAGTCTTCCATCTGGTCTGCTTAGGAAATGATTTCTGACATAATAAGGGATGTTAAGCAGAAAGTGGGATTCAGTAAAGCAGTCTATACTACAGAATGAGGACTGTTTTGCACTGCAGTGCATAATCACTTTGGCTAAATATAGATATTTAGCTAAATATGGATTAAATATAGATATTGTGGCTATTGTATTTTCAGATATATATGCATGTATACAAATACGGTGCTGAGCATAATTCGATATCCTCTTCAAGATCAACCCCATCCCTATTTTTTTTTCCTGTTGTGCCAATGCTCTGCTATTGAGAATCTAACAAATAATATCCTCTCCTCAAAAAATGGTCATCTCTGCCTTCTTAAGACCATAAAATGTTATGCTTAGGAAAGCACTATTGGAAGTGCAGAGTAACTGAAATGTAGGCAGAGAAGCTTGCAAGTGTTGCTTTTTCTGAGTTATCTCTA